CTCATTCTTCGTCCTTTTCAAGACCCCAGCATGTCGCTGGAGTCAATCAGTCAATGTGAGTAAAATACTCCTTGTATTAAAGCGCTTTCGTGTAGGAAGTTTTGTTTCAATACGGCGAGTAGAAATATTTATTTTGAATTTTTCAAAATATCAGGTTTTTACTCGCACGCGCGCGCCACGTGTATGCTTGGCCATATATAGCCAGATGCACGTGCAAACCTTGCCACTTGGAGTACTTTGAACTGTAGAATCGATTTCCGGTTTTTCCAAACCCCTAGGATGTAAATTGTAAACAGCTGTTTTGATGTACGTTTCACGGGCCGCGCTAAAAATATAAATATTCTGTAAATACCTGGTTTTCTCCCCACTAACAGGCTGCTTACTGCAGCAACACATTCCATTCCGATTGTTTAGCCAATCACAGCCCGAGTACCAAAATCAGGAATTCGAACTCGTTCGCGCTTAAATTTAATATTCCGAAACAAAGATGGCGTCGTATGATCAAGCATTGTATGAAGTCGCCCATTATTTCGTATTTCTACTTTCAACGATCATCAGGGGAATGCGATTCGAACAATAATTAAAGAAAAATGAGATGCGTTTGTCAACACGCCTACTACAGGCTTCGATAAATCGATTTGCCTCTCATGTGATGTGATCGCCTGTTCCACGAATGCCAGAGCGGTAGTTTATGGAAATCATGCAGAGGCCTAGTTAATTTGTAATTTTTGCATGTATTCATTTATTAACTTTTGACTACTGTAATGGTCAGGCTGGTCAGCCAGTTAAATAAGTATTTTACTGAGGGTACTGCCTAATGATTTTACATGCCAAAGATAACTCCAGTTATGAAAGATTTAATATTTTCTGAGCAAGCTGGAACAGAAAATTTTGATTTTAGTGAATTACTAAGTGAAGGATGGAGATAACCAAAAAATATATCAGGCATGAAGGAGGGTTTATATCCAAAAGCGATGGAGGCAGTGCCTTTTTTAAGGAATTTTCATCAGTAAAAACAGGAAAAAAGGCAGAACGAAAATTATGAGCTGTCGAGGTTTGGCGAACGCGCGAGTCTGAAGAGCGATTTTGTAATACGACGAGCCGCACGTTTTGAAAACCAGCGGGATTTGCAAACTGAGTTTGCATTTTTCAGGAAGTGGGTGCAGCTTACCCACCAACAATTAACGCTATGCGATGTCATCAATCCAGGAGAAACTGCTCAAACACAGTGTGAGATCAAACATGTAATAAGTTTAATTTCAGTCCAAATATTAACCTACATATGTTATATGATATTTTAGGTACAATTTAGTACAAATAAATGGCTTGATTGTTGACAGAGCTAACACTACAGGATACCGCTATATAAATACCGCTCCAGGTGTAGCTAATTCACAATGCTATTTTGGCTTAGATGCGCCAGAAGATGCTTCTGGTTTAGATGCGCAATGCGTTCTTTAGGTATATGGTATTAATATCTCCTTACTAGTTTGTTTTCCCTTGCGGATTGCAATAGGCCTACATTGGAAAAAGGTCGCGCAAGGAGCGGAAAATAGATTATATAATTATACAAGATAATTTATTTTGAAAGGCTATATATTTGCGTTACGTATTTTGTTCCATAATTTTCAAGGGATAATTGTAATACAGACTCTCAATAGCTTCCACTGGTTAAGAAAAATGAAGCATCTTCACACTAGAAGGACTCTTAAAAGGAGCAAAGGCTCAGTATTTTGTGTTGCGCGCGCCGTGATTTATAGTGCAACATACTAATATTTAGTGTATACAAGGAATAACACAGACTCCTATTTAGCTTCGACTGGTTAAGAAAAGATGGAGCATCTTCATAACCTGCCAGCAAAAGATGGCACATCTTTCTGGCACAGGAGTTTCCACTAAAAGAACTCTTAATTATTCCGGCAAAGGCAAAGCCAACTAGGCTATATTTTGCGTTGCGCCGTGTTTTATAGTATAATATGTACTGTACTGTATACAAGGAATAACACAGACTCCTATTTAGCTTCCACTGGTTAAGAAAAGATGGAGCATCTTCATAATCTGCCAGCAAAAGATGGCACATCTTTCTGGCACAGGAGTTTCCACTAAAAGGACTCTTAATTATTCCGGCAGAGGCAAAGGCTATATATTTTGCGTTGCTCCGTGTTTTATAGTATATAATATGTACCGTATACAAGGAATAACACAGACTCCTATTTAGCTTCCACTGGTTAAGAAAAGATGGAGCATCTTCATAACCTGCCAGCAAAAGATGGCACATCTTTCTGGCACAGGAACTTCCACTAAAAGGACTCTTAATTATTCCGGCAGAAGAGGCAAAGGCTATATATTTTGCGTTGCGCCATGTTTTATAGTATATAATAGGCTATGTACCGTATGCTAGGAATAACACAGACTCCTATTTAGCTTCCACTGGTTAATAAAAGATGGAGCATCTTCATAACCTGCCAGCAAAAGATGGCACATCTTTCTGGCACAGGAGTTTCCACTAAAAGGACTCTTATTTATTCCTGCTGAGGCAAAGGCTATTTTTGCGTTGCGCCGTGATTTATAGTGGGATATATACTCCATGCAGAGAAAAATTACAGATTCCTATTTATAGCTTTCACTGCTTAAGAAAAGATGGAACATCTTCATAATCTGTTTTTTAAGTTTAGATGTAATGAGAACCATATTGGTGTCCTAGTAATAATTTTATGCCTCAATAATCCCTAAATGTTAGATCAAAAAGTGCTGTGTGAAATATGATAGTGTGATGGCCTCGTGTTGTTGGCACAATGTATGCCTGTGAAAATTATGTTGTATTTGATGAAACTGAGGATAAAAGATAAAAAAACGACTTGTATTTGTATAAATGTGAACCTAAGAAATATAAGTAACCTACATGTGTAGATTTATGAAACACAAAAGTGGAGATGCATGCATGTGTAAAATTGTAAAGGTAAAATATATCCTGTGGTGTGAAATATATATTTGATCAGACCCAAACTCCCAAAGAATATGACGCGCTGTATTAAAAAGCTTCTGTGGAGGCATGTAAAATATATAGAGCGAGAGAAAGAGATAGTCATGTGTGTAAAATTCAATATCCCTGTACGCGGCGTTTCGTCCTTCATGGTCTCATGGACTCGTCAGCAGGGAGTTGGGGTTGGCACATGTGTAAGAAGGATAGATACAGAAACCGATTTGGATTACAGAGTTAATAAACAAAAAAATAGCAATATATGTGTATGACTATTGTAAAATAAATGTAAAGTAAAAAGTGTCTTACCAAATTCGCTGATATTTTTGTCAACCAACACGTTGGGCCATGCATGGTCATGGCTTATAGCCTTCATATAGAGCGTCTTTCGTCACGACAGATAAAGGCATACCAGGTTTTTAGAGTATGAAGCTTGTCTGAGTAAACGCGTTTGTACGCCATGATCGCTTGACATGCTGTTCGCTTCAGACATTTGGCGCAATTGAATTTGGCGCCCAAAATTTTGTAAACATATATTCTGAAGTTCTAATATGCAGTAATTGGTGATGACAACTTGACAAGTCGCTTCATAAACTAGATTAGTTAATATTTTTCAATGATTAAACTACATCTCATTACTTGGCATTAAGTTACATGCAAGGGAAAATAATCCAGGCTATTAATTGGAAAACAATGTCAACACCTTTCACACTTTTCCTATTAGTGCTGCGTTAAGCAACACCTAAAAGTTAATCCTGTTTAAACCCGTGCGGCTCGTCATGTGCATGAGAATTGACGAAGGTTGGCTGAATATTACTGCGCGAGTAGCGAAAACTCTCATCAAAATTTGAACCAGTTCAATGAACTCTCGCTCGCTTTGACCGCCAGCTCTCATCGACTCCCATCGACTAGTCTCATCGACTTTGGTTCAAATTTTTGATCAGAATTTTTGCTCGTTTACCGTTAATATACAGTCAAGTCTCACCAACTCTCATGCAACTCTGCTTGTCAATTTTGCTTGTCAACTCTCATGCAATCTTTCATTCTCCTCTCATCCGCGGCTTTATCATATCTTCTTCTGTTTTTAAAGGAAACACATCAGATTACGAAGAGGTTGGAGGGCCATCAAGTGCACGCAAGACTTCCGGGTACGAAACACCAGGCCAAAATAAAATGTATAAAAAGCCCAAAAAATCTCCGGAAAATCCAGGCATGCTGAGCTTGATAAGAATAGACTCCAAGGCAGAAATGATGGCACTTACCAGAAACTTGTAAAGCGAGACTCCAATTATGTGATACCAGCTCACGAGAGAGAGTCGTACGAATACGTCAAAATGGGAAGAAACTTACCAGCTGGCTACGAGGAGCTGGGTCAAAGCAAACGTGAAGCTGATGATTACCAAAAGTTGGTAAAAACCTGAACTTTTTGAAGGTCGCGCACATGGTGTGCACCACTGCACTTGAAGGGAAGTGACAATAAAAATTTATTGAGTTTGCCTCATTTCAAGGAACTTTTAAAACTATATAATTATGAAGACTCTTTATAATTGTTTTCTATCTTGTTTGGTTTTAGAGATATTTTGAAAATAATATTCAAACTATTAAGGCAAAATACAGGGCAAAATGTTTCTGAGTCCATGGCTAGAAATCCAATACAGTATGCGGTTTGACCTGCAGGCTCAAATTTACATAAATTGCGGATTTGCATTAATTAATTACTTGGTATTAAACATTGCGGTTCATTTCTACAAGGAGTTGAACGAGTTAAAGAGTCTTGTTCTGTGCAGCACAGCTGACTTTTATAGCGAGAACAAGACTAAACGCAGCAAATATATTGTGAATATCTAAAGCCAAAAGGTCAAAACTATATCCTGCGTATACATTGAGCGTCATTAGCATATGCGAATGAAGGTTATGAAGGGCTTGCAATTGCTAATTTCCATTGCAAATAGCAATCTAATAGCGGAATAATATACATGTTTAATACCACAACTCAGCGTAAACACTGTAAAAATATATAAGAAATAATTTATATGTAAAATGCCTCTTTATTGACCTTTATTGATGAATTTCGTAAATTGCGAAATTTGATTCCCAACAGAAAGTGTATATTTACCAAGCCAAATTTCAAATTTTACCGCTTATTTGCGCTTTTATTTCTGCATCCACGATCAAATAAACGTTGCAGCGGTAAACACCATGAAAACCATAACAACAGTTCTAAAATGGCGACAAGAAAGCATTGTATTGCTTCGATTTTCATGTCGTGTTCAGTGTTTATGTCGGCGCTTGGTCGATCGATTGACAACGACTCTGCGGCACTTAAATCGCACTTTTTTACGGCGTTTGGGAACCTACTTAAAGACGAAGATACGTCCCAAAAGGCTTCGCAAAACAAAGAATAAATATTCTCGAGTGTATTTAGACGTGCACATTACAGCCAAACCAACTGATTATTGCCAAAATAAAGGCTTACTTTGGCCAACTTTGGCCAATTATTGGGATTTAATAGACACTTGTATGGGGAATAAGAGGTAAGAAGCTATCGAGCTAGGGAACTCATTTAGCCTTGTCAGTTTGTCGCGATATTTGTTCTAGTTAATATTTGTGTTATATATTGACGTTTTAGACGTGCACATGTGAGAATTTGTAAGGTTATAAAACAAAAAAACAGAAATATAGTTTTTCCTCTATCAATTCTATACATTGCCGCCATTTTGAATTTATTTAATTTGCGCTCTGCATGCATGCTTTTCCGCCATACTGTATTAGATTTCTAGCCATGGCCTTGTTCGTACAAATTACACTTGCACATGAAATTTGCCAAAATTCAGTATTTTCTTCATTTTTAAGTGAGTTTTCATTCTATAAGCAAAAACTGGAAAGAAAAGCACATCTTTTGACCTAATGGCATTTTGTTCATACGTATATGTAATATGTAGGCTATATTCATACCTGTATACACGAAAATCATGCAGTATGCTCATAAAGCATGCTCATGAGCAGATTACAGGATTTTGGTACATATATGGGCATGCTCATGAGCATATTCAAAACTGCCACATTGCTGTTCAAAATTTGATTTAAAGTTTGTTGTGGGGGTATTATGAGGCGAAACATGTGTAAACAAGCCGTGATTAAATTGGAATGATGAAAGGCCTTAATCAGCCTGTGTTATTTGCAGAAGAAAAATAAATCATGCAGCAAACATGAAGTCGACAAATATGTTGTAAATTAATGTCAGACTGCAGTGTCAGGTTGCAAAAAAGTGTTTTCAAAATTAAGCCCTGGTCAAACGAGAACAAGAGTTGCATGAGAGTTGATGAGAGTTGAGAAGCGAGAGTTTGGATGAGAGTTGAAAAGCGAGAGTTTGCATGAGAGTTGAGAAGCGAGAGTTTGCATGAGAGTTGATGAGAGTTGAGAAGCGAGAGTTTGGGATGAGTGTTTTTCACCGACTCTCATGCCCCGGTCAAACGAGAACAAGAGTTGCATGAGAGTTAACTAGATATTACCTTCAGATCAGTGATATATTACCACGAGCGTAGTAAAGCCCCGTTGAGACGTGACTGAGAGTTGAGAGAGTTGCAACTCTCGCTCGCGTCTGACCGCCACTAACTCGCATGATCTCATCGATCGACTCGCATGCACTCCAGCTCATCGACTTTGTACTGGTTTAAAATTTAATGAGAGTTGATCAGAATATTTGCTGACTCTCATGCAACTCTTCTTCTCGTTTGACAGGGGCATGAGAGTTGAGAAAATTCTCATGCAAACTCTCGCTTCTCAATAGACCTTTCTGGTAATTACCTCATAACTACATTGTTTTCAACTTAGGGCCATCTTAAATCACGCTTCAATGGAATGGACTTCAAGTTTTTTTCTCACTGGCTATGCGCAAAGAAGGAGAACATCCTTCTTTAACAGATGCATGATAAAAATTATTATTTTGACCAATAAATGCTTTAACACGAAAACGAGGCCAGGGTTTTTTTCAGGATTTTCTCTTGGGTCAATTTTTGCAGAGAAGATTGAGTTTAGCTGAACAGCTGGGGGTCTGGGCAGCTGTGGGAGGCTGATTCGAAGCTAACTTTTTCGAAGCAATTATAGCTTCTCAGATGATTTCAATAGGATACGGCGTTATGCTTGATTTTTTGAAAGGCATTTTTTTTATGCACACTGTAGAGGATCAATTAGACTTCTTATACAGGGTGTCCCAAAAAACCCCGAAAACTATTGAAATCACCAATAACAATTTAATTGTTAGAATTTGAATGCCTTAGCACTCTGTTGGTTCCCACGAGTGCATAAATGATTGACATAAGTAAATTTTATGCATAAAGAAACTATTTAAGAAGCTGCTTTAAATTCCCAAGAGCAGAAAATCGCGCACTTTACAAGGAGATTTTTTTAAACTAAATTTTGATACATGCACCTTGTCAATATTTTACGCATCATTACGTTCAGTTTTTTGGTAGCGTATTCAAATTTTAACAATAAGTGATTTCAATAGTTTTGGTTTTTTTGGGACACCCTGTAGTGGGATGCATACAATTTTCTTCTAATTGTTTCCAAAAGCGTTTTGCAAATCGAGATTGTCTTGTGCTGAGTTTGAAGTTTATCACAATGTGCGCCACCATACCTTCTCTCAAGTCTACATATACAGGGAGTTCCGTATTTGACATACACAGCCGCACGAGATTTTTAGTTTTGGATTATTTTGCTCCAGGAAGAGAATATATTTCAGGTCTGTATTACGTGGAAATGAAGGCGGAACATATTTGAGAATAACTGCATTGTGTGGCAGTAATTTACAGTACTAAAGGCCCCGTTTACATGAGACCGGGGCGAAGTCAAACCGGAATGAAAATCGAAATTGTCAACATGTTTACATGAGACTTAGCCTGCTTGCAGACGTTGTTATTCTTAAGCTTCGGATACACGAGCAATATTTTTTGCTGCGATGGTTACGCAATGGGTGATAACAGCATTGCGTTGCCGTCGCACAAGGTGGCTACACCTGCAATATTTCACCTGCAATATACGTCTTCATAACGCTTTTCATTGGCTGGTCAAGAAACGTGTCATTCATCAACCTTGACCTTCCTCGACCACACCTCCCAATTTTCGGCAATCATTGCCGAAAATCAAATGATTTGAAATTTCGGCAACGATTGCGCGCAGCTTTGCGTTGCCGTCGCAGAGCATGATACACAAGCAATTTCTTTCTCGCGACGGCAATGCAACGATCTTACCACCATTGCATTGCCATCGCCAGAAAAGTATTGCTCGTGTCTCCGTAGCTTTACGCCAAGCGACGAAAAACTAACAACGTCTGCGAGCCTGCCTCCTCCGCAGGCCCTCGTTGTATCATGGGAAGGTCACGATTTCGAGAGGGCCTGCGGAATCTTGTAAAATGAATAAATGTTGTTTTGAACCTGCTTCGTTAAAGAAGGCAGTTTATTCGTGCAGCGTTGGTGTGGACAACAAACCTTATCGTTAAAAAATGCTTCCTTCCACGTCTTAGAGTCGCCATTTTAATTTACAAGTTTCACGCCGCTTTTTTATAGCCTGCTTATATTCAAGATTATGTATAAATTAATTTGCTGACGTGACGTCGGCGCCATTTTTTTACACGATTCCGCAGGCCCTCGCCAGATTTTGTGTGACCTTCCCATGACGCAACGAGGGCCTGTGGAGGAGGCAGTCTACGAACAGGCTACATGAGACTGGTACAAAAATCACAAAATTTTCAATTTATTCCCCTTGCCTTTTCTTTTTTAAATGGCTTTTGTTAGCATGTGTTGTTCCAATGTCAATGTTTGATTACTGCAGCACTGTGTGGGACAATTCTGATTGATATGACGCCAGCCGATCTACTCCAAAAATTTAAAAATCGTGCAGCTCGTATCATTACTGGAGCACCATACAGAACCGTTCACACATGCGATGTTTTTTCTGATTTGGGTTGGTCAACTCTGGCACACAACCGCAAAGTTCAGAAAGCTATAATGATGCACAAAATTATGAATGGAAACTCTCCTTATTCATATTTATCTGAAATGTTTGAGAAGCAGTCTGGCTCAACTACTTATGACTTGAGGTCATCTGATTTCAATGTTCGGATACCTAATGTTCGAACTGAATGCTTTGCAGTTTCTGCGGCTTTTCTTTGGAACTCCTTACCAAATGAAATTAAAGAGGAGAAAGGTTTATCGAAATTTAAGGCACAAATTAAGAAACATAACTTCTGCATTGACAACTTGTAAATTCGCGATTTCACTGTAAATATAGTTTGTATCTATTACATATTCACATCTATTATATTTCATCTAGATACAAAAAAATGTAAATATAGTTCTGTTAAAACGTATACGGCTTCTAGGTTGACCAGACTTAATAAATTAACATTTGTAAATATTATTTCTGATAGAACCACCATGTTAATCTGAATCATTATCTAATCTAATCTAATCAACAGCCGAGACCGGTCTGAATTAATGTATTTGTGTATACATGTCATCCCGCTCTGAATTCATGCCGGTCTGAAGTCAGTTGGCTCGGTCCAGCAGACGGAATGACGGCTTGACACCGGTCTGAGTTATTTTCTCATGTAAACGTCTATTATAAATAATACTACAGTATGACCAAAACGAAATGGTCCCGGTTTGACTTCGTTCCGGTCTCATGTAAACGGGGCCTAAATTGTGTTCCTATGTGTGAAGCTTGCTCTCAGACTCAAGTATACAATTGAGTTGAAATAAATGTATATTTAAATTACTCGCTGGGGCACTGTGCCCGGGCGAGTATAGGTTTCGGCACGCATTTATGGTGGATCTCCAATCGTCGATAGCCACAAAATAGAATTTTAATGAGTTGCCTAATAAAACCCAATTGATCCTTTTGATCCTTTTCAAAATGGCGGCCTTTCGAGGAGTGGCCAAAATGTTGCAAACAATTTCGTTAAAATTCTGATTAAAATTCTGATCTGTTTTCTATGGATTTTGCATTGTGTCTAAAGGTGGTTTTCAAGTCCGAGCTTCGTGCGAGAACTGGAAAACCGCCTTTAACTCTGGACATTCTTGCTAGTTTAGTTAATGCATTTTTCTTGGTGGACCACTCTGAAAATCCGAAATTTGGATTGTTGAATTCCCGTGCACGAGTACTGAATCTGAATATATTAAAACGAGCCAAAGATAATTTCAAGGTAAAAGGTTATAACTTAAACTACACAACGTAGTTTTAATAGATAACTACTTTATGAGAAGCATATTGGCGTCAAATCAATATAAAATTTATCCAACAACAGTCTCTAATAATTGGCTGTTGCAACAAAAGTCCCTAATAGTTAGCTGTGGAAACGTGAAAACTGTAGTGTGAAATATGATGTTGTATTTGTAATGCCTGATGGCGCAAGGAGGATAAAATACCACCGTTCGTTTCAGCGTAAGAAATTGTTCTTACGGATGTCAAATGTATTACTGAACAACAGTATACTAATCTAGCGATTTATGGGAATTATGGCCTTCGTCTTTGAAAGCCAAGCGAAATTGTATTGTTGACCGATCGCTCAAAATTATTAAACTAATTGAAGTAATTATAAAAAATGCGGTACGTTTGATCCTTGATAACTTTAGTATCGTTGGTTTTCTCTTTTTGACCGTATACCAGTGGATTCGTCGCACTTCTCTCTTCATTTTGATAGTATTTTGAACCCAAAACTCCCAAAATATTTTATTTTGAGCGTTTTAAAGCGCAGTTTAATTCCTAGCATACGGACCAACTGGCGGCTGAATGTAGCGTACTGAAACGCTTTTATTTGTAGTTTTATTTGTAGGACACCGCATTTTAGTACTGTGTCTGGTTCTATAAAATCCTGAACTGGGTCATACTAACAAAAACATCAAAACTGAGCCACCTACCTGCAATACAAATCTAGCGAATTTGAGAGCGGCAGCACTCTCCCTTTGACAAGCAAAATCGACTGGTATGCCCACATTAAAATAGTAAAGCAGGGTGCATTGCTATTGCGGTACAGTGCAAATATGGTGACAAAATTTAGTTTTAATTTAATTTGTATAGCCCCAGCGAGTTAACGCTCTATTTAGCGTCTTGTTTGATCAAGAATAGGATTTGTAAGATTGATCAAATTGTAGTATTTTCTTGAAAATTCGCGGAAAATAAAATTTCTGCGCGGGGAACGCGCTCCGCAAGGAGACTATTTAAAATAAGAGAAATATGTATGAAAAGACTATTTGAAATATAATAATATGCATGAAAAAAATTCTCAATTCTTATTGGCTAAGAGCAGTGCAATTTTTCTAACATTACGAGTGACAAAATTTTCTAATAATATTAAACATGTTAAGTGGTAAATGTTTTTAATGATAACTGTAATTAAAATAATTTTAATTTCACATAAATTCATTTGGATTTGTTTTCTTTATTTGGAGAAAGAACCCCCCAACCACATACACATGCAAGGTAGCACTTCATTTGTGATAGTAACTTCTAGTGAATATATAACGCATGCATGTAATTTCTAGTATAGTTCATAATGTTGTTATTGAAATGCAATTATGTTGAGGTTCACTTTCAAGACTAACAATAGATGCCATACAGTAGATCTTGCTAGTTGCTACTGTAGTTCCAAAGAAATTACATTGTATAACGCGTGCCCTGATTGGTCGAAACCTGTGTTTGGATTAAACCATCCAAACATGGAAATTTTAAGTGCCTTCGCGGGAATTTTAAACTTTGTTGCTATTTTATAAAACAATTACTTTATAGTTCCCGCGTTTGGATGGCCTGATCCAAACACTTGGGAATGTTGCTCGAGTTAAGAAAAGCGCGCAAAATCACTCGCCCTTCGGCTCGTGTTTCGCGCGCTTTTCTTAACTCTCGCAACACACCCACGTGTTTGGATCAGGCCATCGACAGACAGAAACCATAAAGTAATTGTATAATAATCCATTTACAATCATAGATGCTGTGTTGGCGCTGCAGCTTAATCAGGTCTGGCTGTATGGATTTTAACAAAGTGTGTCGCAACTGATTAAACTCAGTGGAAGCAGGGGTATTCTATTACGTTTTGGGGAACTTACGACCAATATACCGTCCTACCATTGGCAATATTCACCTCATGTGCATCGCCAAGACAGATGATATCAAAAAATGTGGAAAAGATGCACTGTTCGATCCAATTGTTCGGGAGATAAATTCACTGGCAACAGTAAAGTGCCTATAGTACTATTATATCAAACAATGTATGACTTTACCACATAAACCAATTAACAAAAAAAGTTTTAATCGCCATCTGTTTAACCATTGTGGAAAACGATTCCTAAACTTATAGCAGGTAGTAATAAATTAATAATGCTGTGTGTATCTGTATACACCTGTATTCTAAAAGCTCACTCACACTCACTGAGTGCATGGAGGTTCAATCTTAGCTTGGTGGCAATGCAGTTTTTGGACCAGGAACTTGTCCCCAATCGCTGCTAATCTTGTCGTCGTCGTCGTCGTCGTCGTCGTCGTCGTCGTCGTCGTCGTCGTTGTTATTGTTGTTATTATTGTAATAATTTATTCACATACATAATAACCATGTGAAATTGAGATAATCAGGTTATCCCTATCTAACTTATCTCCAAAATCAACAATTACATTCTTGTATGCATACGTATTTCTAGTATTTTTATTAAACTTTTATTTTGTATTCCAGATTTTATTTCATTGTTATAACTTTAGTTGATAAATAACGTCGTACGAAACAAGAATAACACTTTCCAACATGTTGATCAGAGTGGCATTTGACGTGAATATGACATAAGATCAGAGACAAAACAACCAGTGCATGGTGGTGCCTGGTGGTGTAAC